TAATTTTAACATTTGCTTTTGTTTTAGACTCTCCGGTTAAACCTCAAACTTGTTTCAAATCTGCCTGATTGCTGATGTGGTTGTTACTTTGTTGATTCCTGCAGAAATGCATTTATAACTGACTGAATTTTGCTAAAACTGCAAAAATAGGAATCAGATTCAACAGTAATGTGAATGAGATTAAAGCTCCTCAACCTCTGAAGGCATAATGATGTGACTTTGTGTGAACTCATTTGAAGGCTTATGCTCATAAATGCACATCTGCTATTTCTTTCAGATTCATCAAGCATTTGGATCGTGGCTACAACTCCTGTGCTCGGACAGACCTTTTCTTTACTCCACTGTCGTCCTCCAAGCTGGCCAAGAAGAGGGAGGAGGCTGTGGAGAAGTCCAGGAGAGAGGCTGAGCTCAGCGCTCGGCAAGAACGCGAAAGGGAAAAAGACAGAGAGAGAGAGCGAGAAAGGGAGGCAGACAGAAATGCTGTGAGTGCAATGTTCCTTTTATTAAACATCTTGTGTCACACAGAAAATGTGTCCGCCATCTCACACGCTCTCTCCTTGCTTACAGAGAGCCTCCAGCTCCTCCCATGACAGTCGTATGAGTGAGGTGCAGATGACAGCTCAAGGCCACGGGCGGCCCTCCTTTGAGCAGCCGCCCACCACTGTAGCCGCTGTGCCCCCTTACATCGGCCCCGACACGCCTGCCCTGCGCACCCTGAGTGAATACGCCCGACCCCACGTCATGTCTCCCACCAACCGCAACCATCCTTTCTATGTGTCCCTGAGCCCCGGTGAGCCTCTGCTGGCCTACCACATGCCGGGCCTGTACAGCGCCGAGCCCAGCCTCAGAGAGCGCGAGCTGAGAAACCTCCGGGAGAGGGAGCTCCGCGAGAGGATGAAGCCCGGCTTCGAGGTCAAACCACCGGACCTGGAAACCCTGCACCCCTCGGCCAACCCCATGGAGCACTTTGCCAGACACGGGGCGCTGGGTCTCCCACACATACCTGGGCCTCCCCACCACTTTGCACCCTTCCATCCTGGGCTGAACCATCTGGAGCGGGAGAGGATGGCGCTGGCAAACCCTCAGCTGCGCCCGGAGCTGAGTTACGCTGAGCGGCTCACTGCAGAGCGGCTTCATGCAGAGAGGATGGCCTCTGTGGCCACTGATCCTGCCGCCAGGCTGCAGATGCTCAATGTGACGCCGCATCATCATCAGCACTCTCACATTCACTCCCACCTCCACCTGCACCAACAGGACCCCCTCGGTCAAGGTGAACTGAATTCCCGAGCTGTACTCCTCCTGGATGTCTCAACACTGCCTATTTATTTAGTACCCATTTACTGTATGTTTTCTTCTTCATACAGGCTCCAGCCCTCATCCTCTGGTAGACCCGCTGGCAACAGGACCACGCTTGGCCCGCTTCCCTTTCCCTGGTGGCCCAATCCCCAATCCTTTACTCAGCGAACTTCCTCATGATCATGAGATGCTGCGCCACCCGCTGTTTGGTTTGTAATCCCAACTCGTAACATCCTCACTGACCCCAACTCAAGTCCTTTTTTGAGTTTAGGTTCTTTAACTTGTACTTTTTTGCTTTCTGTAGGAGCTGCATATCCCCGAGAGCTGCAGGGCCCGATTCCTCAGATGTCTGCTGCTCATCAGCTCCAGGCCATGCATGCTCAATCTGCAGAGCTGCAGAGGATGGCGATGGAGCAGCAGTGGCTACATGGGCATCACCTACATGGAGGCCCTCTACCAAGTCAGGAAGATTATTACAGGTGAGGCTTTTACATGTGTTGAGGAATTTGATGTTAGCAAGGCTTTGACAGTAACTGCTGTTTCATTGTTGTTGATGCAAAATAATATGGAGTTTAAAAAATTAGGTTATATTCTAAAACAAACGTCATGTTACAGAGACCTGGTTCAGCCTAATCTCCCTCGTATTGACTCTCCTTATTGAGGCTCCCTTCCAAGTGGAGTCATAGTTTCAACCGTTGTAGGAAATCAGCAAGCGTAAATTAATGAATAGTTGGCAGTGCTGACTTATAAACACACCTTTCATCTGTTGACACGCCTTCATCTGCCCTGTTATTTAGTTGCTCATAAAAAGGGGGTGAATAAAAACACTTAATAAAACTTGCTCTTACTTGCGCTCCACTGAAAATAACTAGATAGTGTCTCTGTCAGCGATAAAAGTGTGAGATAGTTTTTTGTGGCTGTGAAACTTTCTGGAGCACTCCCTCTCGGTATTGTCTCAGTGGTTTTCGGTAATTGCACTCTTGCACAACAAAGGAGCCAAAATGGCTGCTGCGCTGTTGCTCAGTTAGACACACGCAGAATGTATGCACAGAGTCTTTACTTGTCTTTCTTTGTGTTTTTTTTTTTTAAAGCCGTCTGAAGAAAGAAGGTGACAAGCCATCTTGAGTTGCAGGTGGTGCATGCCCTGAAACCCTACGTATACTCAATACTGTGTACTTTTGAAACTGTAAGAGAATATTTTGTGTCCTTTTTTTTTTTTGTTTGTTTTAATATATTTTAGAAAAAATATTTGTGGATCTTTATGTGCATTCCTTGTTCAGCACTTACTAGGACTGTCAAAGTCTGTCTGAGATTTTCATATCGCTTCAGAATTTCTACTAGTTTTATTGTTAAAATAGTGAACGGTCTCACCCGTTGACGTGAGATTTAAAGTGACAGGTTTTCTCTAACCAACTGTTTCATACGCAGTCGTAGAAAATTTGCTAAAGTTAAGCTCTTATAAAGGATATGAAAACAGACTGACTTTGGTGTTGACTTTAAATACCCCTATAATGATTTCTTAAGGATTCCCTTGTACAGAATGACATTTAAACCCGTGTGTGGATGATTGTAACGACCTAGCATGACTCAGTCTTCAGTTTTCACCAAACTAGAGTAGCAAGTTGCATTGTGGTGTTTAGACTTCGAAAGCTTAGTAGAGGTTGAAGTTACTCTTAAATCTGCTAAAATATTTGTTTAAATCCTAAAGTTTTATAAATCAAGATATCTTTTCACAATATAACCGAAGCTTTTATTCACTCATTTTTGAGACTGTACATACTACATGTTCACACAATATTCTATATGAACGAGTACTATTGATATATCGGTAGATGTGAACACTTGACCCTCGATTCAGCACGACAGCAGTAAATCATAAGCTAAACACAGTATATAGTATTATGAGGTGCGCTAATTATGAATTGGACCATGATTTGTCTGTAAGCAAATCCAGAAAAGTGTATTTACATGGTTTTGATGAGAACAACCTGATTTGATAGAACCTACATGCTGAGCGTTTTAATGGAATTTTAAAAAGAACTGCCTAAATTCAGTATTTATGTGACATAATATGAAAGTGTATCCATGGCATATTTATTTCAATAAATATTTCTGCAATGATACCTTATTCTCTTTGCACTTCATGACGTTCCTCAGCTTCCTGAAGAGAACAACAGAA